ATATCGCTTGTACACGTACACCAAAATAGATGTTTTTCCATGTTGGCACCATGCAATATGTTGTAGAAATGCTTAAAAAGGTTATACGGCCGTCCTGGTTCACTTCTTTTTTTCTTCAGTATATCGATATTTTTACATAAGGGGGAGGGAGAGTTCGGCTAAGCCACACAATGGGCAACCTAATTTGGTATCGAATTCACCATTCATGAGATTTGAACCTAAAACCGTTCACTTATAAACAAAGAGGAATACTATCAGCTGTAGTATTAAGTGACAGTTCACTTCTAATTATATACTATTTGGATTTAGAGCAAGTAAACACCATGGCTATAGCGCCATAGACAGATTACAACTTTATAACCACGAGTACAGATCTTGTCGGATCTAAAAAAACAGAGCCTAAGGATCAAATGATCCGGACCGTTGAAATTTGATTTAACGGCTACAAACAGGGAGCCTTATAAAAGTTATAATAATTGTAGCCATTAGATCAAATTTCAACGGTCCGGATCATTTGATCCTTGGACTCCTCATTTTTAGATCTGGAAATGATTTGTATGCTATAACCACAACATAATAATGATAATTAAGGCCGAAAAAGGATGATGTGGAAAATTTGAAACCAAGAAATTGACAAGCAACGGCAAGTTTAGAAGCCTCTAGTGGGCTGGACTCTGCTCGCCTTCCAAGTTTAGTCTAAGACCTCTGCTTGTAGCCAAGGCAGATTTTGGATTTCGATGTTCGGTTTTTTATAAAGAGAGTTGTTATTAGCACTCATTTTTAGTAAATAATTATACAAACGAGGGAGAAATGCGATGTGACCATTTTTAGAGCCAGAATAAACAGTAGTATAATATTAACCAAATTGCGTATGTTACTCAATAGAATTGTATGCGAAAATTAGCGTTGCGGCATCATAAGATTATGAAATGCACACTAATAATTCTTACGTAGAACAAAAAATCTTTCCCATGGAGTCATTGTCAGGATATTCAGTTCTGAGATAAAATTTCTTGACATTGAGGAAACACCCTGACGCAGGAGGATCGTAAGTAATACAATTTGAGCTCACCTTCAAAGCCACGAGTGTTTTACAGGTGAACATGCATTGAGGCAACTCAAATCTCCGATAATCATCAAGAATCGTATCAACACGAAGATCAAGTTCAACAACATTACGCTCGATGTCAGTTTGAATCCAAGCATTAATAAGAGCCAAATCGTTACTGCAGCAGGAACAACGAAGACGGAACTTTTTAATGTCTGATGATGAATCACGAAGGGAGAGTGCACGATCAACAAAGGTCGAAAAAACAACAGAGTCTTTGAATTCTGGTGATGAATCACGAAGGGAGAATGCTGGTCCTCGCGGCATACTTTGTTGGAACGAAGGAAAGTATGTGACAAAGAATTGCATCTGGTAATTCACTGATCCTATCTTCGCCTCCTCCTTGAGGCTTTGAATTCTTTATTAAATGAAAAATCTAAGTAATTGAAACTAAAAACTCTTAATTTACGCTCCTCCCGTTCAATTACTTTTACAAAATTCAAACTGTTCATATATATTTGACATGTGAAAAAAATTCTATTTGTCCAGAGAAAAAACCGATTAAAACCAACAATACCAAAGAAATTAATCAATGGATCATTTTTCCGGAAACCATTCCAATTCAATCGAGAATTAGCAATTGAAAAGAATTATTAAGTAATATTCACATTTTTTGGGAAATCAAGCTTTGTTAGAAATTTCGTCAACAACAGATCACGTGGCATCTTTCCACTTCAAGATTTCTAGAAGATTACAAGACATTGGGGTGAGAATTACATTGACTACAACTTATGAAGCTAGAGCTTCAACAAAGAAAAATGTATGTTTCCATGATCTTCAGTCAACGTAATTCTTACTCCATGTCGTCTAGGGGATTTAAGGAGACAGAAATACCCTTCAAAAGAGGCTCGCGTGCATTTTGACAGGATTTCTAACGAAATTTGGCAGAGGTGGTTTATTCACACTAAAGAAGGAGTCTGAGAGGTTTTGAGAGCTTTGAGTTGTGGAAACAGTCTCTTTGCAAAGCAAGAGTAAGGCTATGTACGATAGAGGTTCCCCTGACCCTCGCAAAGCAGGGAGCCTTGTTGGCTTGGGGTCACCCTTTATGAGAGGTTTTAATATGTAGAAATTTGCTTTCTTATCCTGCTTCAAGTTGGTAATGGAAAGAGATTCGTTCTGAGATACGTAAGAAGTCCAAGAATCACCATATAGAAAAGAAAAGAACCCATATACAAAAATTGCTCAAAAGTTAAGCTGAAATGTATATGCAATCACACAGCTGACTGGCATTGAATACAAAAACAGAAACCAAATCTGCAACTTTGTTGATGCTGCTTTGCATCTACCTACATACTAGTGGCTTGCTCAATCAACGCTCTACCATCGATCCCTCAATAGCATTGCTCAAAATCTTTTAAATTCCAAAGGCTGTGGAGTAAGAAATCTGGCTAAGGCATCATCGATCATTCTTCCTCAGCATCGCTTTGATCAGAATCAGCAAAGTACTCGACGATGTCATCAGTCCATTTTGCACGTTCGATGTCTTGCATCTTCCCAATCCTTCAAGCAAAACATGCAGTCCAGCATTTTTGGAGATTGCATGCTCCTCCTATGATCCAAGACCTGCTTCCCTGCACTACTAAAAACGAACTCTGGTGCTATTGCACACACCGAAGGAGTTAGGAGGTCACGCGCCATGACAGAAAGCAAAGGAAACATTCCCTCGCGCGACTTCCACCAAGCTCGAACATCAAGATTGTCATACTCCTTTTCAGTCATAGAGCCTGCATGATTTATTCCCAAATATATAGGCAGCTCAGTTGGCCCGTACTGCCTTATATCTTCTTGCCTCACATATTCTCTCCAGCTAGCATGAATATCGACTCTTCTTCTCTTACTGTTAGAAGTAGTACAGGGTTCTGTACTTCTGTAGCCTCTGGAAATCTGGATTCATAAACCTTATAAAGGTTATGCAACACAGTGTCAAGTGCTTTTGCATTGAATTTCAGTGGCATGCTTAAACATTTGGAAATGTTGTTCACGATGTGTTGTACACCACATAGTTTCATCCTGGGGTCCATTGCTTTAGCTAAACAGAAACTGGGCAACATGAACTCGCAATAGCTTCTGAATTCTGATTCCATAATGTCATAAATCCCCTTGAACCCCGAATGAACTTTGTGTTTGGAAAATGTAAAGCTAATGCAGAACAAATGATGGAGTGCCATACAAGAACTGGAAGAATAAACCCTTGAACCAAATGAGACTGCAACTTCATAAAAAACACTCAAAAACTCCATGAACACAAAACCAAGCCCCCAATCCGCTTCGCATAAAAGATCATGGTTACCGTTATAAAAATCGGTGATTGCAGCATTGTTATCCACACATGATTGTAACATGAGCAATGTAGAGTTCCAACGAGTCTTCATATCAGGCTTAAACTTTTTGTATTCCAGACCGCGAGATTCGCATGAAGCGGAAAACTCTTCTTGCCTAGCAGGAGAGGAGGCAAGGCAAAGAATACCCCTCCTAATTTTTTCTATATGAGCTTCCATCAATTTCAAGCCTTGTACCGCTATCGAATTAATCACATCGCCTAAACATTTCATGTGAGAAAACTCACCATAAAACGGCCGCAGAGAATACCTAAACATCTTAACAGTAGCGTCATTACATGTAACGTTATCGAAAGTAATACTCAATACTCTATCATCAATCGTATACTCCCTAAATATATCCATCACGCATTCAAAAATCACCTTATCGTTAAAAGGATGCTCGAGCTTACGGAAAGCGATATCATCATACTCGAGCATACGAAAAGCGATAATTCTCTTCTGCAACTTCCAAGCAGAATCAATAAAATGTGCAGTCACACAAACAAAATCAATTTGATCATCGCTGCTAGTCCAAAAGCTACAAGTACAAGAGAACATACCGACGAAGCCACAAAGTTCGAATGTCATGAAGTTCTTCTTTTCATTGAAGAGTTTTAAACAATCGCCTCTGATGAGGTTTAGGGGAACGCTAGAGTACGGAGGCTGGACATACGATTTGATAAACCGCTCGAACCGGACGTGTTCAGCAGAAGTGAGAAGTTGGGCGGTTGAAGCAATGTATTTGGCCAAACCTCGTCTCATGTTGTGTTGAGAGTAGATAAAAGGGTGCATGTGATTGCTTCCGTTTTGACTACTTTGATCAACACTTTGACCATCACCATCTTCATTGATATCAGCATCCTCCATTTTTCTCCAAAATCAACAAATTACAAAAATACCTGGAAAAACTTTGAATGCTTGGAGAGAGAGAGAGGGGCAGAATTTTGAGAGAAAAAGAATGAACGTAAGCTTTATAAGTGTTTACATAGAGGTTTTGGTGGTTAAATGACACTTTTATCCCCCAGAACTAGCCGTTACGTGGAGGTATTGGGACAGGAAAATATGCCATTTGAGAGAAATTTTGAAAAAACCAAACGATTGAAAAGCAACGGCTAGTTTAAACTGAATTTTGGTTTTTGGATTTTCAGAAAATGAAGCGGTATCACGTGTTTTTATATAAGTAATGGAAAATTTTAATATTTAGGTTATTAACTTTTTACCACACATATCTCATCATTTGTATATTGACACGTGATGTACCACTCTGTGTTTCGGTCACACTGAAAAATCTCTCATGTTGCTTAAGCTTTTATAAATATTACTCTCTGATAAGAAAATCTAAAAAGTTTATCATGTAATGTAATTAGGGTCGAGGAAGAGACGTTTGGGATCTTTAAATTGGAAATCTTGCTGCCAAGACACTATATAGTGTGCAAGATCGGATTTTACTGCGGCAGATCATTTGGAAATCTTTCAGATGACGCTCGCATTCGATCAAAATGGTAGACTTGAATGGCTACTGCACCACAATGCAGAGTTCCATCGTTCTCAGAACACATAATGCAAAGGCAGAATACGAACACGTCCATTTTAATTCAAAGTATCAGATTATCCGATCAAAATGGAGCAGCGTCTGCACTCTGCTACTACAGAATAAATTAAGCCGGTACATTTAATATGCTGAATAATCAAGTGTAAATCCGAGAGAAGAGATATACATATCGAGCAGTTGATTTAACAGCGGAGAAGAAAAACACTCTTCTTTCCGTCATTTTAAAAATAGAACATGATTTGAGAGCAATGCACCCCCACTCCGATCATGTTACTCCCCCAAAACACAAAGAACGGTGAGATTTAACCAACTCGAAAACCTATATTACACCAAGGGAACTTTGAACTTGTAAAAGCCGACCATATATCCATACAATCCTGCAGGGTACTTGAGCTTTTGAAAAGGCCTATTAGACCTTCTTGAAGAATGAAAGAATATTTCCTTGCTTAGGATCCTTGTTTACTCCTTTCTTGTTTCCCGCTTTCCCTGTTGCATTTGTTGGAGCCGTGTTTCCCACCGACTTCTTAGCCGCAGTAGGCCTAGATTCACATGTTCAAAATTAGAGTTCAGTCATCAGGCACAAGCTAAAACCTCCGCATGAAAGATCAATCAAGAATTTGGCACAAAATAAGTAACACAAGACCGTAGTCCTGCCCAAGCTAGGCAATCAAATAAATCACACAACTGCCTCAATTGTCAATTCAAGTATATGAGAACAGAAGTGATGCACAGCATCTGATCGGCATGTTTTTCTAGCATCTTTACGGTCTACTTGATATTTCATATCTGGAGCAGAACTATTCAATATTCTAGCTATTTAAGCCTGCTACCTGGTTGCAAACTTGCAACATCAAATAAAATTACCCGTTTCTAACACGAGCCGTTGATATTTTTAACATTTGTTTCAACCTGCAAATTACAGAGAGTTGGAATTGGCAGAATTTACTCAAGTGTGAACTTTTTGGCATGTTTGTAATCCAATTGATCAAGATTTGCATGATGTGAAAAAGTATAGTGTGTGAAAACAAACAAGATGAACTGTTTGTCTTGTGTTACAAGCATCCTATCTCAAGTAGGATATAGTACCAAATGGATACCTCTCAGATAGAAACCACCAAAGCAAAGGAAAAAAGAAATTAAATTAACCTGTTAACAGCACTGGGAGCTTTATTATCAGATTTCTTGAGTATATCACTGTCGGCTGTCTTGATTATATCACTGTCGGCTTTCCTTGCTTCTGTTTCCTCACCCTCCCAGATTACTTCAGTCACTATGGATATTAGATTAACAGAACAAGTATAAATATCCAAAATAAAAATACTCCCAAACAGTGACTAACAAGTAACAAGTCCATCTTCATTTATTATATTTGGATGAAAATGGGAAGGGTGTTAAATTTTAAAGCAGAAACAAGAACAGCCCTCCGAACTTGCAAAGCAACACACTGCAAATGGGACTTTTTGAAAACTGAGGCATCTAAACCACGGTGTACCTTCTCTTCCTCGTTCATCAATCACCGTCTTCACAACTTTTCTTCTTTTCGGTGAACTTGAAGCAGCGTTGGTGGGTTTATCCACTTTGTTCACATCTTTTTCAGGAATAGGTTTCTTCTCTTTAAGGATAATCCCAGCATTTATCACTTTTCTGACATCTGAAGGATCTTCTCTGAAAGGTTGATTGGATTCCCCATCAACAGATATTTCTTCCTTAACCTTGGGGTTATCTTCTACCTGCTCATCAAAATTCAAATTCGGTCTCTCTGGAAGCATAACTTTATTGCTTTCTTTCAGATCTAGGCATGATTGCCCTTTTGGAATCTCCGGTGATGCTAAATTAACTGCATCTTCATCGTCATCTGAGAAATCAAAGACAACCCTCCTTTTCCTAGTGCCTTCACCGTTGGAAGATCTCTTAAAATTAACATTGTTGACCATCATCGTCACTGCTACCTACTACTGCTTCTCGAGCACAAGTTTGAGGCTCTGCACTAGCTCCTGAAACGGTAAAAAGGATATATAAATATTTCAGCCAGAACAATTCTTAAGCACAAAAAAACCCTTCTGTGCATTGAAAATGCTTCTCGGATAATTCTAAATTCCCAACTTATCCATCACTTCAAGAAGGTAAAACAAAATTTTTATAAGCTGCTCAACATAAAAGATAAATGAACCAACCAGTATGATCAGGAATGGAATTATTATATTTCTCTGGAGCATCTGACTTTGACTTCACAGATGCCCGGCCCCAGAAATTCGCCAATGAACCTCCAGAAGCAGAGGAGCTTTTCTCATTCTGAACTTTTTCTTTGTCTGCAGGACGTTTGTTAGCCTGACCAAAAACTCTTGTTCCATTAATTTCACTTTTGACATCTTTGACCACATTAGTAGGCTGTAAACTGATTTTTGGGCTAGATTGCTGTCCTTTATTCTGGACATGTTTTGGAGTTGGGATACTTTGATGAGCTAAATTACTTTCTGGTTGCCCTATTACTGCCTCAGAGTTAAGTTGCGGAGATTCAGTGCTCAATGGTGCTCCGTCCACATTACGCTTAACAAAGGAATTGGAAATCCCACAAAACCTGAAGAAGACGACAAAGAAGAGCATTGAAATCAAGGAAATGAAGCTAAAATATCACATAAGTAGGTGTATAACTATAAATAGAAATGATTTTATATAACTAAAATAATAAAAGTAAGAAATCATAAGTACGAGTGGAACCATGACCACTGAGATGAATATATTTAACCATGCATGAACGCAGAAAGCAGAAACTCCAAAACATTAAGTAGTTAACTTTTAGTATTTGTAAAGTATAAAAGCCAAATACCATCTTATAAAATTTTCTGAATTTTGAAATATCAGAAGAACAACAAAGAATGCAAATTTTGTAATCTCCTACCCGACAAAAGACAAAAAAGAAACAATTTGATTACGTCCTTGCTGTTACATAACTTACATTAGGATTAAAATATGTAACGTAATACACAAGTCTATGTTTAACTACTAATGTACTCCCACGATAATTAACCGGTGATATTATTCATATACCAAAAATTAACCAATAAATTTAAGTAGCTACAGTGACAGATCATTTTCATTTACTTTTCTTCTTTTTGTGCTTTATGGAAAAGATTCCAATGAATACAAGGTCAAACTATTAAGCAATCCCTACTGAGCAGTAATCAGCATCTATTAGATTAATCAGACTTGCAAACTTGCATACAGTAGAGGCATTGGAACTTCATACTCTTGATATTCAGAAAACACAAAGCATACCTTTTATTTATATGAGTAAAATAGAAGGAAATATACCTGTTATCTCTCAAGCAATTCTCAACCGTAGGAGCCTGCTTAAAGAGCTTTTCTGCTTGCACAAATTCAGCATTCCACAGTGCAGCTGGATCCTTTGGGATGCAAGCTTGCACACTATAAACCCCGACGGAGCAGTTGCCATCTAATTCTTCTTTTGCTTCTGCATATAATTTGATAGACATGAATTCCATAATATTTCCACTTCCCGGATGTGTAATGATGAGACAAGCTAAGTCTGAATGTTGACAAAAAGATGATGAGACGGACCAAGAAGCTAAAGTCTGAATGTCTGACAAAAAGATGATGAGACGGACCAAGAAAAAGCATGAACAATCATCTTAGATTTCAACAAGCACACTTTAAAAAATTAAAAATTAAAAAACTGAAACCATAGTTACATAGCTCATGAAAGGATGAATATGCTTAAAAGATATAATAGCCTCTATTACATTCCAAATTGTGTCAACCATAACTCATGTCCGCGTAAGTCTATGCATGTCATCCTATTGGGAATCTAACCCTCCAAACTACTGCTCTCACTCTCTCTCAACATGTTCTATTGCATCTAATACAACCAGATAAGACTCCATTGACTTATATCATAGTATTCTATCTAAAAGGAATATAATTGGATGCTCCCTACTCCTTTTCGATTTTAGTTGAAAATATATCAGCACAAGACATGCATACTTTTCTACAAATAAATGTCACCTGCAAGTTTAGGCCCAGAAACAAGCCTTATATGGTAGCTTGAAGGATCGCTCTTTAACCAGCCAGCCAAAACATACAACACTTCGAACCCATTTCCAGTGTTTTTCAACAAACTCCTGGAGTAACCTATACAAAACAACTTTCAATCACCTGTAAAAAACACAATGCAACCCGGAAAAGATTTGAAGACAGTTCCTATACCTCTTTGCAGCATTGGAAGACACAAAGTAATTTCGACTCAGCCACTTGTACGAAACCTATAGCACAGTTCAGCACCCAAAGAAACTTACTTTAGACAATATTATGAATTCATATGAGGTTGCACACATCTCAACTCAAATTCCCAACAAGAAATTTCGTTTTGTCAACAACACACAGAAGTAACAATTCAGTATCAACGCTTGATTAAGAGCGATTCCCAAGCTTATTGCATTCCTGCACCTAACCCATCATTAAATCCCTAAAAAATTACATCTTTTTTATGAATACAAAAACCCTTTTAACAATAAACTAAAAAACATAAACTCTTTCAGCTTGGTAATTAAGGCAAGTAAAAGATTTGTCTCACTACATAACAAGAAAGCAGTAAAATTTTGTCCAAACAAATAGAAATTCACCAAAACCCCAGTAAGAGCTAGCTCCATTATAACAGAGTAATACACAGCAAAAACACTAAATCGATACCAAAAAACAAAAATTAAAACTGAAAAGTTGATGGGTCTTGCCAAAATTACAGTGAATTGAGATACTGCGAAAAATAAGAAGAAAATCCAGAGATTGAGAGAGGGATAGGGGGAATTGGTACCACTTGAAGTTGATCGGATACGAGGGTTTCGATGTCTTGGATGATTCCCAGGGTTTCCATTTGGGCCTTTTTTTTTGAAAAGGGATAAACTTTGGGTCGCCGATTCTCTCTAAGAATTAACAGTAAGAGGCGTGAAAGTGAAAGATTAGACCTTTCAACGAGTTTCCCTCCCAAAGCTCGCTTCTTTTCCCGCCATATTCTCTGCGTTTTGCCCTTTCATCGCATTGTGGCATACATATGGATTCACAACAGCACGTGTTCTGTGATTAGGCACGTGCTCATTTGGGAAGAGGGGGTTGTGGTACCATAAACATTTATCTCATCTCGATTTTTTATTTTTTTATTTAGAAACGGTATGATGATTACATTAAATTCGTTAAAACGGAAAATGAGTTTAAACTTGGATGCAAATGCAAGAGAGTAGAGCATATTGTTATAGCAAACTTAGTTAAATTCACGTCTGCCCCATTCTTGCTTATAAATTCTAATTGTACTAAAAGAGAAGAGTTCGAACACAAGATTCCAGACACGTATGTAAATGTTCGTTAACCGCCTAAACTATCAGCCTCTTGGTCAGTTCAAGGTAGTATGTAGTCAAGGATTGTTTATTTTATTTTTAGCAATCACACCTTCAAAATAATGACAACTAATGTTATTTTCTCAATGTTGGAAGAGGAATTAATTTCAAATCATCGCTTCTCATTGTAAGAGTTAATATGATAAATGGTGTAAGGAACAACCCGTGTTATTCCTGTGTAAAATGCTCTAATGGTAAATCGTTTATTTCACATTTATGGGCAAGAGCTCACTCTTGGCTCCTATCCCCACTGAATGGTGGACGAAGATTTAACAAATAACATGCGACGTAATTTGAAACTTGTCCCCCAAAAAGGTTTTCTCCTACAAAAAGGAACTTGAAAAAAAAAAAAAATACTGCAAGAGTATAAGTTCAAGCAACACTTTTTCTGCTTCTATCACAAAGAATCAAACGATGAAATCCTAATTCATTATCCCGCTCTCCCTCTCTCACCACCTGGGCTAACCAGGGGTGTGCGTGTGTGACCGAGGACATTGTTGTGTGACTGAGTGATACAGCTAGTAAACTCACAAGTGCGTATCAGAGATGAACCTAATTCATGTGACGAAGCTGCAATTCTACTGTGTTATGCTATGCGACACAAATAATCATTAATTAAGTTTGCACAGACACTGCCTTCCATAACTTTTCTGGATTCCAATGTCTAGCTGTAGTGCAGAGTATCGTGCAATTCTATTGGCTCCTGTTCCAGGTACACGGAAACATCTCTCATGTACCTGGAACTTCGGCAAATTTTCTAACTTGGGATACAAGCAATATTCTTGTTGCAACTTTATATATACACCGGACTCCTGAGTAGTGATTATTTATAAATAATCTGGTGACATGTAAGTTACAAACAGGTTTTACACTCATGAGAGTGCTAATGTCCTGTAAATACAATGTTTACATTTCATTTCCATTGTCCTGTAACAGTTTCGACGCACACGTTTAATTTACAAATGAGCGAGTGAAGGTTGTGTAAAGATGTAAACTTCGTCGAATCCCCTCCTGCAATCGGAAAGCGTAGGACAACCAAGTTAATAAATTCATGCACATATCCAAAATAATAATGCAGTTTGAAGTTAAGTTTTTGGCTTACCCAGCCTTCCCACAAAAAGTGGGACTGTAGTTGTAGATGAGATTGTCAAGGACTTCCTGGACAGGCGGTCTGTTTAATGACTTCCTTGCCTCACTGCATCACAAATTCAAAATTTGACTAAGTTTTGGGTCCGCAATCATTCCGGTTGAATAAACTTAAGTGAATTTTAAAGTTGTAAATGCATATTCTGAATTCTGAAATATGACACTGTGCAAAGTTGTTATTACAGTAGAACCTCGATACTTGAATAAACAAATAATGCGGTATTTGAAGACTCTGAACCTTAAATTTTCCACTTTTTTTTCTACCTCTGCCCTCCAGACAAAGTTGAAAGGCACAGCGGTTTACTTAGAACTAAAAGACAGATACAGAAGGAGCCCCTAACCTGACCAAGAAGTTTGCAGCGTGCTGGGTCACTTGAATAGCATCCTCTGAGTGCGGAATCATTGGTAAGCCCCATTCGAAAGCATTTTTCTGCATCTTAATTAGTTAGTCTTCTCATACTTGAAACAAATCCGTCGGAATAATCTAATAAGTCCAGATTTTCTCAAAGGTCTTTTGCTTTTCCCAATTCTTTGTTATGCAAAATTGTACAGGTTCCACGGTAATAATTATTGAAAATCTTTCTTAAGAACACAAATATAGTAATATTGGAAGTGTCTTAAGTAGAACTAGTTAGTGTTTTATGTGCCAATCATTCATACAAAGATGGTACGAAAAGCAAACTTTGATAATTACGCAATAGTAGCTTCTCCTCCACAAGCTTGTGAATACATCTTACGTAGAAATCCTTGCAGATGCATATTCAAATATAAAGAGCCTCGAGATGGTTCCATATTCAAACACTGTTACTGTGCTGTTGCTTATATTGCTAAATTTAGAGTTAATAGTAGCATTAAAGACGACGAAAGAAATATTGTGGCAATACCTCTGGATGCCATTGGAAGGCAGTCACAGGATAGTTGTATGCGTGTACTGTGGACACATAGACCTGGCATTAGTGTTACTACAACAGTTAGAATCTTCAGGGGAATAAAATGAATTGGGGAACTTGACTAGAGAGATGTTTCATGACATGGTGAAACCACATAACCAAACGAGATAGTTACATTCAGTACCTTATCATCTTCATCAGTACAAGTTGTCAAGATCTTAAAGAAACTCGACAGATTCTCGTTCTCCATAAGCCTCTCTGGTGAGATACCATACTGTTGCGTTGAATCATTACAAACTTATGTTAGAGAACCTAAACCATGCTTTCTAAGCATAAGTATAACCATATGGATAAGAGCAGCAGAAAACCAAAATGCATGGTACGAGAAGCATAAATCAAACAGTAAACAGAAAGAACGAAACTCATAATAACTCATAATCCAAGATATTCTCAAAACACAGCCATTTGTCTCATCAATCTTGTCGATGACTAGATGACTAGACAAACTCAGAATCATAATGAAACAATTTAAACTTCTCAACTGAAGCTAATTATATATGTTTTGAAGTGGTTTTGCCTTTGCTAAATGAAAAAACAAACTGAACAATTATAAGATTTGACCAAGTAAATGGTTTTCGATTTGATAATTCAGGATCAATCCATGCATAAATGATATATTGATAACTATGTCTAGCTTCAAGAAGGAGCCTTTAGATTAGAACTTACTTTATGGTTTTGCATTACAAGACAATCTGTACTCAACTTCTTAAGCAAGTCCGGAGGAAATCTGCAAAAGTAAAAAATTAATTTAGTGGCTGAAGAAGTTAAATCACCATGGATGTACAGTAACATAAAAGAAACTTCCATACAAATTCATAGAACATCAACCCTCCTCCTTAATAATTAGAACGAAGGTCATAAAGATCAGACAAAGATGATGTCTAGCATGCTCTATTGACGTCTACTCCGCTTAACCCTACTGATTAGGCTGAAGTACATAAATTCCTCGTGTTCAGTCCTAATTAAGGGAATGTTCCTCTTTAAAATCTGTGATAAGCATGCTAGCTGCAGGGAAGCTAGCTCGAATGATGGTTGGGTTTTTCATAAAGATAGATATTTAATTTTATAAGAATCAAACAAAAAATTACAGAAGATACCGCGCCCCCCCCCCCTCTCCCCCCAAAAAAAAAAAAAAAAAAAAAAAAAAGAGTCAGGAAAGCCACATTCCAAGATTTATACCTTTGAAAAACAGTTCCTTCAGTAACGGCGTTTTCGGTAAATTGTAAAGTTGAGGCCGCATCTACTGCACTGAATGTCTCCAGAATGTTCTTGTTCTAGAAGGAAGAAAGAAAGTTGTGTAAATCATAAAATTGGGAAAAATATATTAAGAATGATGCATCAATATGGATAAAAAAAAAAAAAACTTGACGAGTTAAAAGTAGACTACAACTAATTGACATGACTAAGGTGATTCAGATTGAAAGGAATACTGTAACAATTATAATAAAGGAAATTGAACTGTTAAAGCATATTTCAATGTTGGATGTCAAGTTGTAAATGGATGCACCCTCACTAAAGACTATTCTTTTCATAGTCTCAAGTTGTATGCCCACTAAGGAAACCAAGAAAGGCCATTCTCAAACGAAGAAACAAGGCACGTGGTAAAATAGTTTTGAATTGCAATTGTCGCCCTAAAAAACAGATGTGCTGGTTTTGCTTCTTTTAGAAATTGAATCATTTAAAGCGCCATCACCCATCAGAATGTACAAATTTGATCATTTACAGTGGCTACTTAGGTATTTATGCATTCAAAAAGGTGAAAGAAATGCAATTTGAATGAAGAGGCTGAATTCTTATGGAAAAACAGTGTACTTTGAGAAGGATAGTTTACCTTGCTGATGATCATTGTTAGAAGTTCAAAACCTAAGCAGGTGGCGTATAACGGAAAATGATCTCCAGCGTCATTCTTCTCTATAATTTTCTGCAGAAAACAGATACAAACATAGCTAATAAACATGGAATGGAACTATGGACGAAATCTTAAGAAAAGCAATGAAACTAAATTCTTAAGAGAAGCAATGAAACTATCCTAAGAGAATTTCAATTTACTGGAAATCTTTATGATGCAGAGAGCCCTGAAGCATCTAAGGTTAGCCAACGATGACAACAATGCCATGGTTCTAAATCTAATGCAAAAAATCGAACTTTGACCTCTAAACCCCTATTTAGTGGTTAGGCTGACCATTCTATCTAACCAGTATCTATCAAATTTTCTTTTGCCTAGTGTTGGCTGGCAAACAGAGAATGATCCTTTATGCTGATGATCGTGGGCAATGACATGATATTGGGCTTGGTATGATATCAATTTTGACCTCTAAAAACCTAAACCCTATTAAGAATCATGATTCTTATGCTGCCAAGTCCCGCCAATACTAGACTGATCGAGTAACGATTTAGATCAAATTAAGTTTGAACGAAAGATCAGAGTTCTTTTCATAAAACTGAGTCCAGAGGAGCAACCAAAGCACATCAAGGGGTTGAGGCATGTTCTGCAATGACCAATTTTCTATGTAGAAAGTAGTCTTCTGTTTGTTTAGCAGAAACTTGACCCCGTAGTATATAAAAGTTAGATTTAAATGGTCCGCCTGGCAAGCCAGGACTATAATGTTAGTGTAGATCATGCACTAAAGGGTTACTATATCAAGCACTAAATTACCTTAAATATTATCTCGGCAACGTCATAGTACAAACCACTTTTAGCCCATCCTCCAGTGAAAAGCACGCCATTGACGAGGTCGAGCTTCTGCAAAGCAGCATTATATAGTGAGCAACATAACAAAATCACCGCTACAGGCCGGCTTAGTTTATATATGCACACATATTGAAACTTATATAAATGAACAGCCAGTACTCACACCAACTTCAATTTTTGATTCTTAGCCCAAAAAACAAACGAAAGCTTTCGAATTTAAGGCCTTTGAAAATTTAAGCATTTCTTCTGAGAAAAGTTAACTCAACCCATGATGTGCTTCTTTGAAAAGCAGCTTTTACGTAAGCAACACAGAAGCAACTTCTATAAAAAGCTCAATTTGTTATAGAGATCACCTGGAAAAGTATATCGGGAGGCTCGTTGTAGATGAGAGGAATAACACGAGCTCCAGCCGATTCAACGAACTTGACGTAAGAAGCCGCGATATACGACGCCGTGGAGGCGTTGCTCAGCCGGCCGGAAGCGCCGTCGCCAGGGTGGCTCAGGATACCGATCACCGGCCGGTAGTTGATCTTGGGGTCGGGGGCCGTACACTTGGACGAGGACGAGTCCGATGTTCCGAGTTGACTCGGCAAGAGAACCGGCACCTGGGCCTTGGCCAAGCTCAGCTCTTTGGACAAGGAGATTAGGAAAGGAATCCAGAGGAAGCTCCACATCTCCGCCGGTGTCGTTTTTGGTGAGACGGCGGCGGTTTGGGCGTCAGAGGAGGTGGACTCGGAAGGGTCGGGTGTTGGGGTGGGCGTGGAATCAGTGAGGAAGCTGGAGGGCGTTTAGGGGAAGAACTGTGCCTAGGAAGCGTTTTAGTACGGCAATCTGGAAACGAGGAGGAAGAGGAGGAAGGTGATATGACATTGGTGATAGTTACGTGAAAGGAAGCCAACAAAAACGATGTCATGTCTTAGAGACCACAGAATCACAATTAGGCATTGGATTAATGAGACGGTAGATATCCTGTACTTACTTTTTTTTTTTCGTTACTCTGAACTAATTCATATTATAAATAGTATTCGAACTTGAGCGAATATAAATAACATACCCGTTTTGACTAGTTTGGTTAAATTAAACTCGCATTTGAATGTAATACTTGATCATTTTTCACTAATTATTCTTTTGTTTAGAAGTGGGAACAGTTAAATTCGATTTGATTCCTCGTAAACTTGAAAACTACATTGTTAAATATGTTCGGTTCAGTTATGCTTAATTTAGTCTGGTTTTGTTCAAAATTTTCACGTAAGCAAAACAAGATAAAGGTATATACAACAATGAAATCCAACAAGCACATACTTTTATTTGAATTTTTTTGGTGAAAATTTGAACTTTTAAACTTGGAAGGAAATTTTCATAACCAATTTTATGCTCTTTTTATGGTCAAGTAAGCAATTTCATACAGCAAAAGTATGCCCAAACCCACATGAGGTGAAACAGGGCCCCAGATTCAATCAAACAACAACATCAAGCTAAACCCATAAAAGCCTATAACTCAAAGAGAGCCTAACTTTGTTAGAAGCCCTAATTCGAAGATGCTTTTAAAGAGCCCAATTTGTCCATCTAATCATGAATAAATTGGAGTCATTTATTACTGAATTTGACATAAATGGTAGAGAATAAACAAATTTGCCTTTAATATATTTCTGAAGATGAATATGCGGAGATGTTTGAGCGGTGAATTGATTAAATTAGTTATTAAGTTTTGCAGTTCGATTTTTTTTTTTTTTGGGTCAAGGTTACTATATTACCACAACACAATTAATTATACACATTGAGGCCATACAATAACCACACAAGCAAAAAAAAAGGGACCTCAATAGTAACCCAAATACCCAAAACAAAAAAAAGCACAAAAGCTAACCCTAACTGCTTTCCTTCAACGACATTGTCAAAAAGCACCGATCACGAAGGTCAGGAACCTACACCTCCAACTTTCGCCGGGAACCCACATCTCAGAGATGGAAAGAAGATGAATTTTGCCTTCCAACAGATACCATCTCACCGATCGTAGCCACTGATTGAGAGAAACCAAAAAAGCCCGTGAGATCGCCACAGACAACACTGCTAAAAATGGTAGACAGAGAGAAGGAGGTGATGTTGCCACCCAAGCCGGTGAAAACGCCAGATCTCTATGCATCTTCTCAGTTGAAGACCGCATCACTTTGCAGTTAAAATTGATTGCAGATCAAAACGGAGATGGGGTCGGTGGAAGCCAAAATAAGAACATTATTGAGTGATGATTAGATAATTAGGGATAATCTTGTAATGACAAGTGTCATCATTTGGTAGACTTAGTTAGTTAGAGAGAAAGCTTACTTATTAAGCTACTAGATTACTATAAATACCAGAGAAGGACTATATTGTAATAACAATTTTGCTGAATACAATATTTTCTCACATTTCTCTCTCTCTCTCTCTCTCTCTCTCTCTTAGTTTATTCTTTCCTCTTTGATTTGTTATGATGGTATCACGAGCCTAGGTTCTCTTGATCCAAAGAGTTTTCGATGGAAGATTAATGGCGTATGGTGGTTGTGGTTGCTGATGAACGTTCTGCGCCTGCAAAAGAAGTGCGATTATTTGCCATTCTCGACTTGAATTAGGTTTTTTCGTGGAAATTTCTGGTTTTGGTGATTTGTTCAGAATTTTATTTATTTTATTTTTTTTTCAGATTGTTTTGATTGATTGAAATCTTGATGAATTGGAGGCACAAAGCCATCTCCGAAATTCTTGATAATTGGTGTGGTTGAAATTCTTGAAATTTTGGAAAATTGTTGAAGCACGAAGCTATTTTTCTTCAATCTTGGATGAAGAATTTCATTGATTTGCATCTATGTTAACAACATGAAGCTCTATGGTGGGCGTAAAGATTTGAGTAAAAGGGTAATTGTTTGAGCACGAAGCTTGTTCTGTTGAATTTGATTGCTAATTGGGTTTCAAGATTGTTAGGGCACGAAGACAAATTGTGAAATTTGGTGAATTTTGAAGATCTCTTTGAGCACTAAGCTTTTGTATTTGTAAAATTTGTTTGTCCGAAAATTACAATGACATCTCCAGTGGTTAAGATTGAAGGGTTGTTGGGTATGCTTACTATGCGTTTACAAGATGATAATTTTGCTAAATGGGTGTTTCAATTTTGATATGTGTTGGAAGGCTATGATTTGTTTGATTACTTTGATGGCACCAATGTGTGTCCTCCTAAATATGTTATATCTTTGGAGGAATGAGTGACTAAGGAAATCACTGAAGCTTATCGTGAATGGGTTAAAACTTATAAAGCATTATTGAGTTTACTCATTGCCACTCTTGGAGATGAAGCTATTGAATATGTAGTTGGTAGCAAGGCTGCATCTAAAGCATGGGCTAGTCTTATTGATAAATAAGTTATGGTTTCAAGAGCACTTATTAATCATCTTAAAACTGAGCTGCATACAATAAAGAAAGGTCTTGAGTCTATTGAGAATTATCTGTTGTGACTTAAAAGCTTGAAAGATCAATTGCTAGTGTAGGAGAAACAATTTCAGACAATGATTTAATTGTAGCAACGTTTGCTGGTTTACCATCAAAGTGCAACATGATTAGACTATTATTGTGGCACGGGAGCCATACATCACTCTCAAAAAGTTTCGAGCACAATTACTGAGTGCAGAGAAAATTGCTGAAGAATCTCAGAGTTCATTACAGTTATCCATGGCTAGAATGTTTTGTCAATGGGAAACTTCTCAAACTGGTGCAAATAGAAATTTCTATCAAGGGGAGTCGTCTAATATTGCAGCTCAATGTGGCTTTTAGTCTAATGGTTTTGGTTTTGTGGGACACTTACAAAGATCTAATGGTAATGGCCCGACATGAGCTCATTTTTCCCAAGGCAGTATACCACATCAATTTCCTTCTAACAGGTATAATTAGACCTGGCAATTTATTACACGACCCGTTAACACGACACGTAAACGACACGAAAATAACGGGTTTCGGGTCAACACGATAACTAATCGGGTCATTATCGGGTCACACGATAATAACCCGTTAATAACGGGTCCTTAACAGGTTTACACGAGAGTGACACGTGGGTAACCTGTTTTGACACGATAAGAAAAATGCTATTTTGATGATTTTAATTTTTTAAACTACTAAAAAAACTTACTATAAAATGCAATAGATATAATGAATATGTATATATTGTTTATTAATTATTATTCTATTATTATTCTATAAAAATTTTAAAATTTAAGTTTTATTTATTTTTATAGTATATTATAGGCAAAGATTGAGATTAAAAATCATAAAACACATTGAAAATAAAAATATCAAGTAATTTAAAAATACCAAAAACATAAAAAAATTATAATAATTAATTTCCCGCCTAATATTTCAAGAGTTTCATCCATTTCCCACCTAATGTTTGGGAAATTTTGCAACCTATATCCATCCATTTCCCGCCTAATGTTTAACCCAAAGAAAAAAAATAACCAGCTTTTTTTTTTCTTTTTTTTTATCTCTTATAACATTTTAACTTGAATAAAAATAAAATACGTAATAAAAAACATAAATGTAATTTTATTATTAAATATCATCACATACTAATTGAAACATAGTCTAATTAACACTTAAAATATATAAATAATTAATATATTTATTCCAAGTCATCAAAACGATAAGATTCACTAACACTTAAAGTTTATTTATACTTTCATTAAGTATAACATCAATGCATATCCCATCAAAATGATGAAAGTATGAATAAACTCTTAAGTATTAGTGAATTTATCGTTTTGACGGGATACGTATCCTACAAAACTAATTTCAACAATCCAACCGTCAAACTTGTTTATACATGCTTCGAGATCGCATACGCCAAAAATTGAAAAAAACAAACATTCAAAGATGAAGTAATGAGACAAAACTTTTCAACGGTTATAAACGAAAAATCACGATTTAACGGTTATTTTAACTCTGATTTTGATGATTTTGTACAGCTACACTCCTTGACCTTATATGAATACAATGAATGAATTCGATCTTCAATTTAAAATATTTGCACTAGTGGATACCACAAATCTTATGTTATACTTAACGAAAGTATAAATAAACTCTTTAAGTATTAGTTAATGTATCGTTTTGATGGGATACGCATCCTATGAAACTAATTTCAATGATCCAACCGTCAAACTTGTTTATACATGTTTCAAGATCGCATACACCAAAAATTGCAAAAAACAAACATTCAGAGATCAAGTAACGAGACAAAACTTTTCGACGGTTATAAATGAAAAATCACGATTTAACGGTTATTTTAACTTTGATTTTGATGATTTTTTACAGCTACACTCCTTGATCTTATATAAATACAATGATTAAATTCGATCTTCAATTTAAAATATTTACACTAGTGGATACCACAAAATCTTATGTTATACTTGATGAAAGTATAAATAAACTCTTAAGTGTTAGTGAATCTATAGTTTTGATGGGATACGCATCTTAGAAACTAATTTCAACGATCCAACCGTCAAACTTGTTTATATATGCTTCAAGATCGCATACGCCAAAAATTGCAAAAAACAAACATTCAGAGATCAAGTAATAAGACAAAACTTTTCGACGGTTATAAACGAAAAATCACGATTTAACGTTTATTTTAACTCCGATTTTGATGATTTTTTACAGCTACACTCCTTGACCCTAAACAAATACAATGAATGAATTCAATATTCTATTTAAAATATTTACACTAGTGGATATCACAAAATCTTATGTTATACTTGATGAAAGTATAAATAAACTCTTAAGTGTTAGTGAATTTATCGTTTTAATGTGATATGCATCCTACGAAACTAATTTCAACGATCCAACCGTCAAACTTGTTTATATA